GGTCAGCAGTTTGAAACTACCAGCTGTTCTGCGGAAGAAAGATGAGGCTTTCTGCTCCCGTAAAGATTTACAGCCTTGGAATTCCTGTACAGGGTTGCTATGAGTTGGAATTGACTTCATGGCACATTACCACCACCATCATCCAAGTTAATACCAGTCAATTACTATTAGAGAGTTGCAGATCAAAACAATAATGAAACATCATCTATACCAGCATTAATAGCAAAGTTCAATAAAACAGAAAACAACAAATGCACACCACTACCACCACCACCACCATCAGAAAAGACAGACACCAGGATAGGTGATTAAGCTCTCCTTGACATGTTCATTAGGACATCATGACTACCTTGTGATTTAGTGTGACTATTAGAATTCTAGCCCTCTTTGCATGTAGTACTTGACTAACCTTATCAAGAAATAGTATAAAAGATGCTTGTAACAAAAATCAGTGAACACCAAACCAGCCTTTTTGCTGTGGGTGCTCCAGGAATTGACTTCTTAAGAATAGAGGCTTTTCTCTTTCTTTGTTTAGCTGGATGGCGTGTTTGTTTATTGGACTCAATTGCTCCAGGACAGGTAAAAACATTGTTTGATTTCTTGACTGCTGCTTCCAAGAGTGTTGATTATGGATCTAAGTAAAATAAAGTTGTTGAGCAATTGGATCATTTCTTTGTTTACCAGGATGATATTAATCTAGTGGGATTTTTGTGTTCTTTACATTGAGGTGAAATCCATACTGAAGGCTGTAGTTTTTCATCTTCATCAGTAAGTATTTCAAGTCTTGTATTTAGTATTTAGGTCAGCAGTTCAAGCTCACCAGTTGCTCCTTGGAAACCCTATACAGGGTTGCGATGGGTTGGAATTGAGTTGATGGCACTTCACACCAACAACATTTAGAATTTAGTGGTGTGGTGCTATAGTATCAGAGTCCTGGTGTGGTGCTGTGGGTTAATGCGCCAGACTGCAAAGCCGTTTGAACTGCAAGGTCGGCGGTTCAAGCTCACCAGCTGCTCCTTGGAAGCTCTATACAGGGTCGCTATGGGTTGGAATTGACTCAATGGCACTTCACAAAAACAAAGCTATAGTATCAGCACTCGGTTTTGAATGACAAGGTCAGCAGTTCAAATCCACCAACTGCTCCTTGGAAACCCTATACAGGGTCACTATGAGTCGGAACCCCTTGGACAATACTTAACAACAACAGAAGCAGTGTAAATTTCAGTCAGAGACAGTTAAAATTAGATAAAATTCACCTCCCAGGTGAAAAATCTTTTTTTTTTTCTTTATTGTTCTCCAGCCTCATTCTATCTGGTGGTAAAAAATTTTAACCTGGAAACTTTTGAGGAAACACAGTCACTTCAGAAATTAAATTCAGTTACATTAACACCCTGTCCCTTGTCTTTCCTTCTGAAAGGCATCTATGTTTCAGAGAGGGCTAGTAAGACCCTCTGAGGCATA